TGCCAAGGATCCATTTATACTTCCAAGGATAAATCTTTGCACTACACAATGCACAAGCTCTCTACTGGGTAGGTGTTTTTTTTTGGCCAAAGAAAAAGATAAAAAGATTGCATCAATTAGGATGAAATAGTGCTTGGTATGGAGTATTGGAGTAAGAAATAGGGTGAGATGGAGAATATGATCAAGAAGACCCCTACCCCCCCCCCCCCCCCCTCCCCCCTCCCCCCTCCTGATACGAATGGTTAAAGAAAGGGAAACCAGAGAGAGGGAAACCAAGAACTAACTGGGAGGAGAAATTAAGACATGGAGTGGAATGACACTGCAAGAATGTACTAGGCTGGCAGAAAACAGAGATATGTGGAATAACGTTGAAATCAACCTTGAAGCTGGGATAAGATACCTTGTAGATAGATTGATGCACACCTGTAATACCCTATTACGCACTTGCACACACACACTTTTTTTTTCTTCCAATAGAAATAAAATACAGTTGTTTTTCCTTAACATGAATTCAAAACATTTTCATTACATTTTGTTCTTCTCTTACACACACACACACACATACACACTCACCTATCATAGAGCATTCCAAATGTACGGTTGTTCTGTAGAATATGTTTCATCATGCTGATGAGTCTAGGATTGAAGAGATGAAGAGGGATGGTCTCCCCTGGTACCAGGACCACCCCTGGAAGCTGAACCAAGGGAAGCGATATGGAACACTCATCATCTAACACTGTGCGTCCACTGTACTCCTCCAGGTCGGAGCCTAGGTACTGTATGACAGAAAATATTTTCAAAAATTGATTGAAGATGAGAGACAAATAAATATTACTGCAAATAGCTAATAATAAAGTAGAAACTGCTGTACTTGAAGTGTATTTTGATACAAAGCACTCTGTGATGTTATTCCTGGTTCCGCACTGGGGTTTAAATACACAATTTATCAAGCAGTGACAGTGAGTTTTCAATGAATGCAGAGAATTTCAGAATAGGTCTTCAAATTCTTTGACTTCTTGCACTGTTCCCAGTTGGTGATGATGGATTCCCAGGTGGAGGAAGCATGTCCCAGAGGTTGTGAGTCAGAAGAAAATATGATATCATGTCATCTATCATACACACAAAAAAACTATTAGTTAATTATCCTATAAAAATACAGATATAGACCCCTAGTAAGCTTCTACTATTTCATATTCAACACCATTTAAATATGCTTGAACAGCTGAATGAAGTTTTATCAGCATTTCACGGAAGTTTGTTTCATAAAACTTAAGATACTCACCGCATGTGTTGTTGGAAGAGAAGGGTCATAAGTTATTTTTTCAGGTCTTTTGCTCACTTTGTCTTGATCTATTCTCCCTCTGATCTGCAGTCGTAACCTTTCGAAGATGCCAATTTCTGTGACAAAAACACACAAATATTTTTTCTCTTTAATGGCCTTGCTTTAGACACAAAGAATGAGACTAGCCAGCATCAGCAAATAATAGTTATGCCAAATTATAAGGATTTCAATAAAGTTATGATCACTATCCTAATTGTAGGGTGTCTGATCGCGCACCCGATGTTGTGTGCTAAAATCTTTCCCATAGAGATTGCACACATCCCTATGTGGTGTACATGCATTGCGCGACCAAGCAAAATTGGTCAATGATTTTATGAAAAATTTGAAATTCAAACCTTTATAACAAATGATCCTGAAGGTGAAACTCAATAAATGTGGTGTCATATGAAAGAGCAGGTTTTTCTCCATATTCCCCATAGGGGGCCACCCCCGGAATTCTAAATATATCTTGCTCAAAACAGCGATTTAAACATCGTTTCCATGGTAACTCGGAGATTTACCAATTTCACGAACTGCCCCCCCGAGGGATAAGTTGGGCCAGCTGTAAAGAATATATCCAAGCACTTATTTTTTCTCTAGTCCCAAGGGATCATTTGTTATAACAGTTTGAAAATACCCTTGCTCCACGCTTTGCATATCGTGCTGTGCATTAGCTGTGCAGCTTTTGAGCAGAAATTATAACTCTGCGTGAACCACTTTTCTGTCCATTCTGACCAAAATGCTATGAATATTGCACAGTTTTTGAGGGGCTGTATCTTTTGATAGAAACATCGGTGAGTCTTGAAATTTGAAAGGTATTATTCTGATTACATTTTTTACTCCAATATCCAACAAAAATGGTGAAAAACGATCCCAAATTGAAAATTGAAAAATCGTTCAGACACCCTACTAATTGTCACAATTCATTCCTTTAGGCGTTACCACTAGATTTTTTACTATCGAGTTCAAGAATATGAGATGTCTTTTTCCATGGACAAGTCAAGATCAATTTAGACTGCAACAGTGCCACTGTAAGTGCATCATGCGCATTCAGACTCACCGTAATAAGAATCTCGTGATACTAATTGTTTCTTTTCAGTATTGCAAAGACTTATTCTTCATTGTAAAAAGAAACTGTAAAAATAACAGATTTTATTGCAGGCGAGAAAACAAGGTAAGCGATAGCCAACATGATCACTCCAGCAAAGCATAATAGAGAGTCAATGCTAATGTGTATTGACCTCTAGCACTGTACTACATTTTAATAAGCAGCATTTGCACACATGAATAGTCAATACACTCATTATGCACAAATGCACACAATCATGCCGATATGGCTGATCGGCAAGTATGACAGTAGACTTAGATCTACAATTTGAAATTTGAAATTTGAAATTATTCTTTCTAACATCGGTAAGTTGAACAAATTGTATTTTACTGCTATTTAGGTGTCATCAATTGGCATTAAACTTTGTACAGTAGTGTTTGAAATGTTGAAAATCAATATCACAGCTTTTAATACACAGCTTTAGTAATGCAGCTGTGTGTGAACATGATGAGATTCGAAGGATGATAACACGGTACACAAAAATAAACAGATGGGACTGATCATAATAGAGGCGAACATTCACTTTTTCCATGGAGCCTAAAGTAGTAGAGTATACTACGAAAACATAATTAAGGCTATACCCTGCTCACCATTATTTTCATCATCATCTTCATCATCTTCTTCCACGCTGTCCTCGTCTGCATCATCATCAGGATGCTCCAGTTCTTCGTGTACAAGAAGATCGTCCTCCTCTTCGTCCGCCATGTTTGTTTACAATTTTCACCCTTATCAAATTTGCATATCAAGTACATTGCATGCTCGTGACGTGAAGATGCAGGGATGGGATGCCGCAATGAGATCAATTAGATATCTGGGATCAACTCAATTTCAATCTCAGCTCAATTACCAGGACATTCACTCACGTTGAGCTCCTGTGAAACCTAAATTGAGTCTATTCTATTTCGGGACTATTGCCTGATTTTTAGTGTAAATGAAATAGTTTGGCGATATAACAACAACTCGGTTTCCGAAACTGATTCGGGAATAAAGGGGCAGCGCCCTTGTCTGCGATTAATGTACTCATTTTTACCTATGATTGGGGGTGCAAGATTTTTCATTTTCCCATTTCTTGTTTGTGTAAATATAATGACTTTGATTTCAGTGTGATATTACTTGCACTATTTAGGCATGTATTCATGGGAAAATAGAGGGAGAGTATTGCGAGCAAGCAAAGGACAGTTATAGCCACCTTCCTTTTAATCTAAGAAAGGATTTTAAGGGTGCGCATTGCACATTCATGATGTATGCACAAGCTACTGAGTTGTATGTTTATCAATATTGATTTCAAGAGTTATAAATACCGAAATGCAAAATTATTACTCTTTCATTTACATTGAGCTCTTTCGAGTCGCAGACTTACCTACTTGAAAAAGGCGGGGCTCGGGCGAGCCGGGCGGGGAAGGGGGGGGGGGGGGTACCCATATTAAGATATACGGAGGTGTGCCGCTCTAATGGGTCACTGTTTCACAAGAAATCCCTAAACGTGGGTCCAATTTTAAACAAAAATATCTTTAAACATGGGTCCGTGTTTTCAAATTTTCCAACATTTTCTGAAAATCGTGAAAATTGGGCTTTACTTCGAGAAAAAAATCCCCCATAATGACCCTTAAAAATGGATAGGGGTTTGGAGGCTTCATCGGTACACCCCCGTCCAAACCAAATCTGAGTACCCCCCCCCCCCCCCCCCGGGTCCCTCACGTTTCCATTAAAGGTATATTCCACCCTAATATTAGAATGGTTTTAATATAAGCAGAATAAACTGATAATGAGAGAGACAGATCAGTGAAAGTTTGAGCAAGAACAGATTATAATAATAATAAAGTAATGAATTGTTTATGTTGTCATCAGTGAAACACAAATTTGCAACACTGTGACGTATATTGCGAGCTCCTCTCCTACATTCAATTTCATAAGCTTTTGTTTTCTTCGTTATAGATGACGGAATAGATGTTTCACACAGGGGTTGTATAGAAACATGGGTTCATGTATGACTGACATTTTTTGAGGGAAAACAACAATTTCTGATGTTCTTTTAGTACAGAACAAATGGGAGAGGAGCTCGCAAAATACGTCACAGAGTTGCCAATTTGTTTTTGATTGATCACAACTTCAACAATTCATAATTTTTTTATTTTGGATTGAAATTCGCTAAAAAATATGACAATGACAAGTTCCTCTCATTGTCCTGCTCCTATTGGAACCAACTTTAAAACCCCAACAGTAAGTTTGTTCTTTCTTTCTGATAAGTTCCCTAACTGGAAATAGCCATGAAAGCTCTTTATACTTCGCTTAATTCAAAATATGCCAGTATTAATAATGATAGTGGTCGCGGTTATATGCGTGTAAACTATCACGGGATAAAGGAGCATAACGTCAGAATAGCGTTATATAGATTTACACAGAGTTAAAGCCCTTCTAGCTCTCCACAGCATAATATATGCCTACCAGGATGTTTTTATATGTAATACCTTCTACGTGACTCTACATGAATATGATACGTGTTAGGAAAATAACCGGGTAGCCTCGTATTCAAAAGTTTATCATTCCAATGTTTTAATGGATCAGAGGTATTTGGTTATAGGGAGAGACTAACTCTTGGGCGTTGTTTTTACAGACTTGTGTAGGGCATACTCCTCTGCAGGTAGCAACAAATGCTTTGTCTAAAGGAATATCACCTTTTGCAGCGGGCAAAAATTATGTCTACAGCTATTTTGGTGATTAAAATAGTATCTCTTCACTGAGTCTTCAAACAACTATTCTTGAAAATCAACATAAACTTTGTATGCCTATTTGTGTTAGGCATTGTATTTGTTTATGCTCATCAACGAACAGGACTTCTACAAGAACAATCAATCATCAATGCTGCAAAATTTCCACTCCCTTCCGTAAAGTGTGACAAAGCCGTACAAGATAAAAGAATCACGGCTTTGGTCGTACATGAAGAGCGAATAATTCCTTTTAAAAGACAAAGTCTGAAGTTATGGCATTTAAAAACTCATCCGATGTCTCAAAGTCGGGTTGGGACTGGATGTCGACACCATCAGTCAATATCAGCCGTCATGCGATAAACGACACAATCAAGGGAACGATCTCGACATTGAATGAATCAATGGCATTGGATCTCGACACCACCCCCACATCGGCAATGGATCACATCACCGCGGAGGAGAGTTTGCCAGCGGTGATAGACAAGGCGATATCGATGGTGTTCGGAATGAACAACGACACGGCCCTGGTCATAATACCGAGTACCAACCCGATGGCGGTGTCAATGGAAGAGCTCTCCCGTGTTCGTATAATAACGGCCATCATGATGACCGTCGCATTTGCGATGGTAAACTTGGCCATGGGTGCGGCTATCGGCAAGGTAAAGTTACAATATTACATCGACACTCTAAAAAGGGTTATACAGGGCGTGTCAATAACAAGTTTACCCTGCTTTGGTAGTTCCTAATTGACAAGTCATTATTAATATGACTTTGGAATTGCTTTCATGATGAAGAGTTACTTATTTTCTTTCCAATGATCCTCTAATCATAATGTCCATCACGGGTAAATAAGCACCAAGGTCTTTAAAAAGTGTTGTCAAAATAGTCAACATGCAGAACTCCTATCAGAGATCAGCTCTGTAAAATAGAAACCGATCAAAGATATGGTTTGTCATCATGTAGCAAATTCAACATCAGAAACGAAAAACAATATCGATTATTATCTGCACTAAAAAAAAGTATGACCTTGTAACCACACTATTTTGCCTGTTGCGCGTAAGACTTCGTCAGCGATGAGGTCTTTGAGTCTCATTGCGAAAATTATTGTACACAAGTTGAATGCAAAATGCACATTGCGAACATGGTGTCGAGCCTGTGCCCCATGTACCGGCCCATGAATAATTATTGCCTTCAAAGGATTGATAATCGTTGGAATGTGTCACATTTAGAATGACGCTTCGTGTGCAACTGGTATAATCCCCCTTAATCCTGCATAATCCCTTCTCTTCTACCAGGTTGAATTGATGCGCCAATGGCGAGTACCTGGCGCAGTGTTAGTTGGATCCATCATACAGTTCTTGGTGTTCCCTCTGGTTGCCTTAGCGATCGTCAGAATGTTCAAGCTCCCGACACCTTACGTCACTGGTATGTTGCTCGTCGCCATCTGCCCTGGGGGAGCTATGGCCAATCTCGTCACGTTCTTCATTGACGGTAGCATCTCTGTTTGGTGAGAAGATGTCGATGGTGATGGCAACGATTGTGTCACTACCAATGACAATGGTGATGGTGGTGGCAATGAAAGTAACAGTATGGATGTTGTAATGGAGGTGGTGGCGATTATCATGATGATAATGATGGTGATTATGGTGATGATGATGATGATGATGACAGTGACAATGATGACGATGGTGATGATGGTGTTACAACTTCCGGCACTCTACGTCACTGGTATGTTGCTCTATGCTATCTGTCCTGTGGCATCTATGGTCAACATATATATATATATATATATATATATATATATATATATATATATAGTCAATGGTCAACGTGGTCAAAGTCTTTATCGATGGAAACAATACTTTTGTGTCTGGTAAGAATGGTGATGAGGAAGATGATGGGGATGGTGACAATAATGATAATGGTGATGTTGATAATGATGATGATGATGTCTAACAAAAATAGTGGGTTCTTGTATGGCGCTCATGTTTGTTAGACTTGACAGATGAAGATAATATATGATAAAGATAATGATGATGATGATGATCCACTATCATCATCATCATCATCATGATGGTAGTTCGAACAGCAATGATACTGATAAAGGTATTGGTGGTATTGGTGGTGATGACGATGATGATGCTGATCTTCATCATCATTTTGACAATGAAGATGACGAAGATGACGACGATGTTAAAGATGGTGACGATAATGACAATGCTAATGATCATGATAATTGAGATGATGTTGGTGATGGTGGTGAAAGCAAGGATACTATAATGGAGTACGCCTACAAACATCGAGTATAATTGTCGAGGATGGTGGTAATGATGGGGATCATGGTGATGATGATGAGTGATGTCCTCTTCGGAATCCACGGTTGCCCCTCTGACCGAATGTTTTGTCGTGAAATTAGAAATATGCGTTTGTCTTGAAACTTCACATTTTATTTCATTACAGAGCTCACGCAGTGATACTCAGAATTAAACTATCATATATTTTCTTTTTGAAAAAAATTACCATGGAGGACACCTAGGAGCACCAGGAATTAGTGTACTTGCGTACTGTATGTCGCTCAGAATTACAGTTCAATACCAACAAACTCGCCAAGATTCGCGTACGTGTGACACACTTTCTCGACATGGACGCTCCTGCCAATCCACCTTCTCTCTCTCTCTCTCTCTCTCTCTCTCTCTCTCTCTCTCTCTTGTCAACGAACAATTCTGCCCTATGCTTCTAAAACAGGCCTTCTCAACTAATTTATTAGAAGCGCCAAAACGAATATAATTTTTAGTTAGGGTGCCAAACCAATATGTTTGATTTTGCTGCGAGGGAGCGTAGCGATCGAGCCGACAACGGGGGGGGGGGGGTGCAGGGGGCGGAGCCCCTGAAGCTGATGTATTTTAGGGCTTTCTAAAGGCCCAGATGTGTTATTTTTAGCACCTCTTTATTCCAAAATATATCAATCCTAATTTCATACAATTCCTGGGTACATTCACACTGGAGGTAAATATATATGTAGATATTTCGGAGCAATAAACACGGGAATTGTCCAAATTAAGTGAAATTCAAACATTTTGGGTCTTTTTGATTTTGCTGAGTTTTTAATTCTAAAATACAATTTTTTTTTTTTTAATTGTGCAACAGTCGCGCGCCACTCCGACTGACCGCAATCTAAAACGTATCGTTTTACAAGTAATTGTGTTGACATGCAGTTAATAATGCTGGTACTACGTACAAGGACTTGTATAAGGACATTGGAATACGTGACATAATCAATATCTTTGTCACCTGTTAAAGCGGCATCCAATTTCATCATCGTAAAAAGGTTATTTTTCACTTTCAGGACGTTTTGTTGAAGAAAATTGTTGATATTATTGCTAGACTGGGTTATTTTTCTCCTGTTATTCAGCTAAAAAGAGTAATATCAAGTTCAACTTCACGTTCATTAATTTCATTTTCATTTTTTACAAGCAAAACGGTAACAACACAAAAGAGAAATATAATGAAAAGTCACATGGTTGGAAACAAATATGATCATGTGAAGGAAACCAATTATAATAGAGGCTTAGCTCCTGGATTACTTACATGTTTGAGTATTACATTTTCATTTTAAAGTAGGTTTTATGATAATTTCAATTATCTTTCATCGTTTGAGTAATGTTTTTTAGCTAACGTCTCCAAAATGTAAATTCCACCATAACGTCTCCTTTATTTACTATTGCCATGATAAAAATCGTAATTATGCTCAGACATTTTGCTTTTGTTCTCCTTTATCATAAAGCACGAGCATGGTGCTTATCTCGACGGTGGTATCAATGGGGTACGTCCCCGTCATGCTCCTAATCATCTCCGGTGGTATCGCTTCAGCTTCTGTCGCGGTCTCCATGTGGGCCGTCGTAGTAGCCATCTTCATCATAGCCGTACCTCTTGGGCTCGGCGTCATCATCCGCTCGTACAAGGAGAGCTGGGCTCATGTCATCACTATGGTACCACAAACAACTGATATAAAAATCAGTCGCGTATCTAGGGAATGTAGAGGGGAGCACGTGATCCGGGCGGCACTTGAATTGGTCAGACTACATGGGTCCCATTTTAAACAAAAATACCCCTAAATATGGATCCGCTATTTCTAAGTTTTGAACATTTTGATAATGTTCAATGATGTTAATGATAAGGGGGGGGGGGGGGGGAGGGGAGAAAGAGAAGAAAGATAATGATTGTATTATATGCGCCCCAATACTCATTGTAAGTCAAATTAGAAATCAGTTTGCTTAGGTTGTGGTATGCGAATATTTTCTAAAGCTCATTCGCTTTGCTCCCTCGCACAATCTCGTGTTTCGCGCCCAATACAGGATATATTTGAAGGGGTACAATAAAGAACAACATTTATGCTCATTGCTTAACTTGCTCCCTGTTGCATAAGTTTCGTCATCCTTGAGTTAAATATTGCGCCCCGAATATAGGATAAAGCATAGAGAATAGTAATTACAAAGGGTCAGCGTTAGAAAGAAACTCTTTATGTTGCTTTTAAATTTATCAACATTTCTCCTGGCTTTTCGTTAATTTTGCTCCTCATTTTAGGGAGAAGTGATTAGAAATAGGCTCATGGGTGTTCAAATTCGGAAACTCTACCGCTTTATTGCAATGCTTCCTTACAAGCTTTTCGCGGCATTTATAAATTGCGTTTTTGAGGATTAAAGTGCAAAATATAGACAGCTCGGTAGGTTTGGTCCCTCGCTCGTATAAGTTATTTTGCCTCGGGTCCCGAAATCCCTAGATACGCCACTGGATACATTTTGTTGTGTTTGGAATAAGAAAAAAAGGGGTATTTAGTAATCGATATAGGAATGTTGATGAATGATAATAGGATGAGAGTGTTCCATTTTTATATTCTCTCTTCCTTTTCCAACTTTTGCCCCCCCCCCCACTCCAGTTTGTCTCTATTTTTTGCCGTTTACGTTGATATAATTTTATTTTGTGTGTTTGGCGTGTGAAGGATTAAGTAATAAATAATAATTAATATCGCGTTTTAAACTACCCCAACAGACAAGGGGCGCAGAGTATTCAAAATGTCACCTGTCTTCTTTATATTTCCTTGATAGATTGGTATCACCGTTGGTCTCTTGGTCTACATAGCCAACTCCCTGGTCCAACTCTTCATCCATACGCAGATCTTCCACGCCCCTTTCAGGGTGTACATCGCCACCGCACTCGTCGTCATCTGTGGGTTCATCATCGCTATGTTCGTCGCATACCTCTTTGGACAGCATCCCACATCCCGCCACACACTCGCCGTACATACCGTCTTCCACAACACCTCACTGACGTAAGCACAAAGACGGAATCGAATTAGTAATTATTAAAATAATTATTTATTATGCCCGTTGGATATAATAGTGATATTTGGGGTTTATTATAGCGCTTAATAATTCATTGACGATGTCTTTAAGCGCTTTACATTTAAATTATTACACCGGTCATCGGATTAAGGCTTACCCGCACACATTGTACACTCTTATTTCCACGGAGTCAAATTTCACTCTAAATGGCGTCAGCTGGGAGTCAACTCTATTCCTAGTTAAAGTGACACGGATTCCGAATCAATTTGACTCGGATTGTGTGGCATCAGATGAGAATTGACTCAATTCAGAGTCAAGATGACTCCTTTTCCGTGTCACTTTAACTAGGAATAGAGTTGACTCCCAGCTGACGCCATTCAGAGTGAAATTTGACTCCGTGGAAATAAGAGTGTATGTACATTCTCCACTCCCTGGGGGGGGGGGGGCACTCCCTGCAGGTGTCATTTTACATATGCTCAAAAAACTGAGCAAACCACTGAGCAAACCGCAATGACATTCGCATCCTATACCAGGTACCCACAGTGGGTGGAGGGTGGAAATGTGGATTCATGTCTTGCCAGAGGACGCTATTGGCGTTCTGGAATTCGAACCCTTAACACTTGGATTGAAAGTCAAGTGAATGAACCAGGCTAATATCCCACGACACCTCCACCGTTCCGCCGGCACGGAGCGTCAATCTGCTGACACTTATGACTCAAAGCTACATAATTTCTGTTATACCAGCAGGATCGCAGAGACCTTCATCATATCAACTTTAGGAATATAGGTCTACTATTACCCTATTGTATTACCTATTGAAACAATGTTCGGATTACGTCATAATTAACGTTCGCACATTTCAAAAATTGATGCACAAGGCTGTTGATATAGCCCTAGGCTGATTTTTATTTGCGGTCGTGTTGTTTGTAACTATTGATTTAAATTGGAAAAAAGGAGAACCTCAGTGTTGCTGTTTTAATTATCGTATTTTTCTATATTCAAAACAGAATCGTCATCCTCTGCACCGTATTTTTCGATGACCCCCATTGGCGTCAACTCGTCGTCATCCCGACGATCTACGGGCCGATCAGTAGCTTGTTCGGCATCATCTACATCATCGTATACCTTACGGTAGGCATCAACAGCGAGGAGGGCAACCATCATGAGGCTTACCAACCCATCAACGAGGAACCAGGTATGTTGATATAAATTTGTCACCTGAAATCCTATGCCAAGCTCAGTAGCCTATTGTGACGTCCTCTACACGTTTGTCTGACGTAATAGGACGGCGTCGATGTGTGCATTTCTCTCAATCAATTATGATTATACTCATATGGTTTTTGAGGCGCAATGGTAGAAATTAATGAATACAGAATATAATTGCAAAATGTACAGTGTAAGCCCTATGTTGATCGACTGATAAATTTCTATCAAGCATAATAATGTTCTGCTACGCCTCCAGAAACTCGCTTAAAGCAGATAAAAACGCAGTCAAAATGACACATCGTATGCGACATGGTATATGATCCGACATTTTCCGGTGACATGAGTTCCGGGCTTTCTTTCAACAAAATATAGGGTTGGGGTTGCGATAGGTTTTCGGACAGGTTAAGGGTAATTGTTGGGTCGTGTTGGGTCCAGCTAGGGCTGAAGTTGCGATTCTGTTCAGTGCGGGAAATTGACCGCATGTCATGTCGCTAGAGCATGTATCGTACAAACAAGGATCAAAGTCGTTGATTAAGTTCATCATTATTCATAAAACAAATTTGCTAATGAGTGCCGCTGTAACGTTGTCTTAACAATGTCTTAACAACATGATCTACTGTCACGGAATGTCGATTTGCATCCTCGCGCTAGCCTCCTTCCATTGATGAACATAGGCTGTTTGTCTGTAATGTGATCGTTCCTTTTGTTTTAAATTTAATCTTATTATGTACATGGCTTTGTCTGTTTTCCCCTATGAATTTTACATGCGAGGCTAAACCAAAAGCGTGGCAAATTGTTATATTACTGTCAGTCTATATTACACTCCATCCCACATCAACCCTACCCTATGTGACAACCCTTCACGTGACATCTATTTGTAGCTCCACGGTTGGATAATTCAAGACAATGGAAAAAATTAAATGGCCTTGGTAATTCCTATAAAGTATATCCACTAAAATGTCTACAAAATTATGTCAATAGTTCAGAAGATGATCTTACTGAAAGCATGTGACTCTTAATTGTATACCCCATAATAATATTAAATAGTATTAGGTGTAATGTACATGGTTCTTTACTCATATAACATAGCCCAGGCATCAAGTACCATCAGATTTTACAGAGTTATAAAGCTTGTGATCGGATTGAGTGGCGGATGTAGGATTATATTACAGGGCAGGGAGAAAGGGTCAGTTCAGAGCTAGCAGGGCGTGTTTAAGTATATGAGTATAAACGCCCTTCTGGCTCCAAACAGGAGTTTTTAGGATAATTATTACCATATTCTCAAGAATTCAAGGGAGACACGCCTGTGTATTAAGAGACTGGTGTTAAATATGATGAAAGGGGGGAGGGGTGGTGATGTATAGGCATATGCTCTTTGCACACGAGGCGTCATTATTTTGTGTGAAGTAGGTCTGCGTCAGGTACTGGGGCGTTCTTTGACGCACCGTGTGATAGTCACATTGCACAAGAATGAATGCAAACAGTTCAAATACTGCGTTGAATTACTATTATATGAGGGTTAATTGCCTCCTCACGCAGGTTCAACTAGCGCAATAAATGACGCAATCGAAATTTCTGGTGTAATATTATTGTGCAACGGGCATCAATGAGTCTAATTGTATTTGCTTGCATCCCTTCAGGTAACGTCGAGTACAAGGCCCTCGAAGGCGACGATGACGATATGAAGGTCAAAATCAAGATGGCTGGATTCCGACTGAAAGTGAAAGGGTACGAGGAGATGGACGGAACTGTTTCCCCGTTGCCTATGACTGGGTATTGATTATCTCCTGGGTCCAGGGTATGTTGCCCCATACGTTTTCAACATCATCTACGCCTATTAATATTAAAGTAGTCACCCGAAGAATCAAAGTGTTTTGAATTGATGCAAAATTCATATCATTGCGAAGGGAAGCCTTACTGATCAAATATAACAACTCCCCTCTTCAAAATATGTTTGGGGCCCGCAGTAATCATTTCTCAAAATTTTTAATTTTGAGATCCAGATTTTCTGCCTTCAGGGGTCTTCCGTAGAGTGTCAAGATTCGTGACGTCACATGCGAGACACATCTAGCCACAAAATTGCATTTTACGCCTCTCCATGACATCTATATCATTTTCCAGCAAATTATTCGTGTTTTTCCAGAGAAAATCTTTCCATCCATATATAATTTTTCCATAATATTATCAGTTGTCCTGAATTTTATTCGGGTGACTACGGCATTGGTTGCGTATACCCGATGATTCTATCAAGTTGCTAGCCATAACAGAGCTTAGATCAGACCAAATAAAAAAGGAAAATGACAGCTGCTATAATATGTAAGCGTTTGATTTATTTTAAAATTCGTTGCAAGGTATGGGTCAGCAAACACGGCACATAACCTTGGACTTGCCCACAACATGGAAGTACAGCTATAAACATGAAATTTCGTAGATATTAAAGATAAAGTGAAATGAAATCCAATTTAAAGGCCCACTGCACTACTTGTAGCTACTTGCACCCTCTATATAAGAAACAATGCCTAATCGGTGACCATTGGTCTCCCATGATCCTCTTTTTCTTATGTTAACTGAGAGCTGAGTTGATGAGATAACCACCTGTCCAGTGACCTTGCAGGGCGGTCTAATCCCTCTTGTAAACTACGGCAGATAAGCTTTAAAATTAATTCTAAAAAAGGAAAAGAAAAATAGGAGGCGAAAACCTGAAAGCGAAAGCTATGTTGGAAACGCCAAATATCAAATAAAAAATAAGTTACTATTTAAAAATCAATATTGTGAATATATCAATTAGCATCGAAGTATAGAAGTTTGTAAATTTTGTTTACAATGTATCAATTTGTGTAATTTATGTGTAATTCAGTTGTGAAACTGCCATTCATGAAAGATGCAATAAAATATCATTTATCTATTTATCTTTCTATCTTGGAGTAGAAACGAAGATAGAAAATTTAGAATGTAATATGTAACGGAAGATAAGTTAATATGATAGGGTAAATTAGTTACCTTTTTTTCAGTATTGTTGAACCTATTTATGTAAATAGGCGTGTAAATCATTATCTACACGTGTTCACTTTTTAAAAATAAAAGTGACCAGAGCCAGTTGCTTCTGATTTTCGTACTATTATAACGAAGAAGGGTATTAATTTTGACTGATTATACATTAAGCGATTTGAACATAGGTGGTTTGCTTTGTATATTGGTATATATGCTCAATGTGTAATCTTCGAAGGAGCTTTGTATTATGTTATGCTAGGAGTCCACTGGGCCGGCGCCAGTTGGTGCCAGTTCGCGCCAAAGATTATGTGATTGGCGCGTAGTGGCTCGCTGTGGCGCCGAATTAATGTCCGCTCGGCATGTGTCGCCAAGTGGAATAAACTGGGTGCCATATGGCGTGCGCCAAATGCCACCCGGCTTGCTCCAAAATGTTGCGCCAGTTCGCGCCAGTTTGCGCCATTACACGGCCATTTGATTCCAAAATTCACCCTGTTGGCGCCATTCGCGCCAATAGACGGCTACTTTGCGCCACTTGGTGATTAGTTTGTGCCAAAGGTCGCCAAATTGGTTTGAACTTGCCGCCGCTTTGCGCTACTTGCCGACTAAATAAATACCGGCCATTGGCTACCCGGTTCAGACCCTCCTCAGCTGCTGTATGAACAACATCTCTATTAAATATTTACAATTTTGATATGTCTGAGGCTTTTGATAATGTTGGAGTGATGATGCTGCTCCATCAGAAGATGATGAGAGATGCTGAGGTGGCCACTGCCTATCAACTTATGCTGGCCAATCCTGAAGAAGAAGAGCCTCCTAAGAAGAAAAGGAAGCACAACTGGTGGTTTAGACCCATGCTCCACCCACAGTTGAGGGCCGAACGTGGACAGTACCACACTTTGATGGAAGAGCTGAGTGAGAATGACAGGAGGAAGTTCAAAAACTACACCAGGGTGTCCCCAGAGATGTTTGATGACCTGTTGGTCAGGCTTACACCCCACTTGCAGAAGAAGGACACCCACATCAGGAAGGCCATTCCCCTGGTCTCAAGTTGTCCGTCTTCCTGCGCCATCTCGCCACTGGGGCCACCTATGCCGAGCTGTCTTACAACTTCCGAGTGGGCAAGGAAACCATCCAGAAGTTTGTCCCACAACCAATGAAGGCTGGCTTGAGGTTGCAGGTGATTTTGAAGCCAGATGGAATCTTCCTCACTGTCTGGGAGCCTATATGATGGAAAGCACATCCGTCTCCAGAAGCCCAACAAATCAGGCAGCCTTTACTTCAACTACAAGCAGATCTTCTCGGTTGTCCTGATGGCTCTGGTAGATTCAAAGTACCAGTTCCTGTGGATCGATGTGGGTGGGGTTGGCCATCAGTCTGATGCCCAGATCTACAACAACAGACGTGAACTGAAGGAGTGCATTGAAGCTGGCACTTTAGGCATCCCAGATCCAGCTCCTCTTCCCCCATGATGATGAAGAGCACCCTATGCCGTACTTCTTCGTGGGAGACGATGCCTTCGCCATGAGGACGGACATGATGAAGCCCTATGGCCGTCGTAACATGGACTAACAGCAGAAGGGTTTCAACTACAGGCTGTCCAGGGCAAGGCGTGTGGTTGAAAATGCCTTTGGTATTCTGGCTCTGCGGTTCCAGTGCTTCCTTGGCCAGATGAGACAGGAACCAGACATAGTCCACATGCTCATTGAAGCTGCCGTCATGCTGCACAACCTCATCAGGAAGCACTATCAGGCACTGGACGTCCGCATGTTGAACCAGGAGGATGCCCAGCACAACCTCATCCCTAGAGCTTGGAGAACTGCCGCCATCACTGTGAGAAAGTCCTGCGATGCCGCCCGGGTTATAGGCGGCAAGTGGCGCCGAATGGCGGGCAATCAGGTAGCATTTGGCGCGAAGTAGTCACCTATCGGGTGCCGTTTGGCTCGCGTAGTGGAGCAAACAAGGTGCCCCTTGGCGCCAAGTGGCGCCATGTGGCGCGAAATCTCATTGGCGCAACTTGGCGCGCGCCATTACATTCCAGTGGATTCCAATAGGCGGATTGTTTGCGCCAAAGGGCGATATGTTCGCGCCATTTGGTGCCACTTGGCGGACACTTGGCGCTGATTGCTCGATGCAAGTGGCGCGACGAAAATTTCAAACATTTTGAAATTTTCTTGCCGCCACATTAAAATTTGGTGCCGTTACGGGCCACCACGAGCCAGTTGGGAGGCAGTTTGAGCCACTACACGCCACTAGGCACCTTATTGGCGACACTAGGCGCCACAGTAAATTGCATTGGCGCAAACTGGCGCCAACTGGCGCCGGCCCAGTGGACTCCTAGCATTACTTCATATTATGACTACGATAAACATGGGCAGGCTTTAACATTCTACCAAAAACATGTCTCTACGAGATAATTATATGCCTCTACGTTGTAGATAACTTAGAATTATGAGTGTTGTGAATAGCTCCCAACCGAATTTGATAGAAAGTATCCTACATGATTGTTATAGCCGAGTAATGGGCCCAGGAAGGTGAGCTAATTGGAAACAGTAGTAAAGTATAATTATGTAACTGGTGGTTTGATGTTCATCAAGTCTAATTTTACTTTTAGAATCATCACTTATCATAGATGACCAATTAGCTTAGATGTAATACAGAAACAATTCGGCGTAAGAAAGAAGAAGTAATAAACCGATATGATATAAAGGAACACATGAATTTCACTTTATTTTATTATTGCAGATTGCGGTAAATTTGATCTCATGGAGTCTCTCTCTCTCTCTCTTAAATCCCTTACCTCACCCCCCCCCCCCCCCAAAAAAAAATCCTTCAACCCATTCCCGCCCTTGTCCCCTATCCAAGCATTTCTCTTTATCTCTCTTTCTCTCTCTCTATCCACCTGATATCTACAGCTAAAAACTAAATTATTATAGCCCTTGTAAATTTGATGTCTTGTATTTTTCGTAACTCGAGAATAAAAGGACTGGTTGAATCACGGTCTTTGTTAAAGGTAATACAAATTTTCGGGAAATTTTGAAAATTGGGTGAATATTGATTCTTTACAATTTTGATACTATATTTGGATGTCCCTGCATGTGGATGTATTATAAGCACTAGAAAATTTAGCCCCTAAAACACTTCTGCTTTCGAGAAAAATTGAATATAAAAATTTACCGGTGCTCCCGGTAAATTTTGATAACTTTCAAATAGCGCCTACGGCCGTATAATGGTAGCAACGATTATGAAAATCTCAGAATATGTAGTTGTGATATATAATTTCCTAACGGGAATAGCTAATCGTTCGATTTTAGTCAAGAAACATTGTTTTATAGCTTAATTGATATCTTGACCTTGAGAGGGAGCTATACAACATAAAGAGTTTATTATTTATAATTTCATAACTTAAGACTCGATTTCAACCGCGAAAACGATCATTGAAAATTGTAGGATCGCATCTGCTTCCAATATGTTCATTTGAACCAAATTCATGACCCCATACCAAAACTTTGTATTACCTTTAAATACTTTTAAATGTAAGCTTCAATATGTCACATTCTCAAGAAAAATAAATCGGGACAATTGAATTTTTCACATACTTATATCAAAAAAGTTGTAAAGGGTATTAATAATTTAGTTTTTAGCTGTATATATATAGAGCAGTTTAGACATTACAGCCCCCCCCCCTCTCAAGTGTTTAGAGTCGAATATTGATGAAAGAATACACAATTTAGGTTTTCTGCTTACAACAGAAAACCCAAATTATGTATTCTTTTATCAATATTCATTTTTTGTTGTTGGGGGGGGGGGGGTCTTTGCAGAAGTGTCTTAAATGACATTCTCTTTCACATTATGATACAATTTAAGTGAAATTTTGCCATCAAATTTTGTAACAGAAAAAAAAAACGAATACAGAAAAAAAATTATGAGGGTTACAGGTAAAGACAGAGATAGAAAGAGAGAGGGGAGAGGAAGAGGGAGAGAAAGAGGGAGGGAGGGAGAGAGGGAGAAAGAGAGAGAGAGAGAGAGAGAGAGAAAGAGAGGGGGAGCGGGGCAGAACATTAAACAAAAATTGGAAGACAAAGAAAGAGAACAGAAGAGAGCTGAAAAGGAGAGAGTTGGAAAGTATGGTCCTGTGCAAACATGCAACTACATGTAATGCCTTCATGCTCAGCCACACTCCAATCCATCATTAAACTAATATGAAAATACACATAATCACAAGAAACCAGATGATAGATTGTAAATAATGGTATTAATTTCTCACTTCTTAATCACAGTGGTAATAATAACAAAGAATTACAATAAAAGTCAAGTACTTCTTGCAACATATCAATCAGTGGTAAATAAATCATTTTCAAAAAGAATTAAATCAGATAATTTTTCCGGGTCACATTTGATTATTCACATTCTTTCATTTAATAAACAGCACAAAGTTATTATTTTGTATAATGCCTTTTAAATATTATAAATATCTACGAATTTGTGTAACCGTTACCTATGTAAATTGTGCACTTAAATTGATATCTTCCAAACAAAGTTAGGTAGGTTTAGTACATTCGTTCCTTGTGTTAAACTCATTTTTTGATTAAACTGTAATACCAAGTCAACCGAGCACATTAAATATTGGTTTAATATTACCCAAGGGGGGAAGCCGTACATTTCTATTATAGAGTATTAATCAATACCAAGGAGAACTATCAAGGAGGGTGTTATTATCCCTTATACACTGTATGTGCATTCATTTCTTCTTCTGGAGGAAGATGCATGCTTTTTTATTTACAGTATCTCTGCACAAACTTGACATCTTCATTACATTTTGCATTTTAATGTATTTTTTGTATTCTGGGTGAAAAAAGGAAATCTTTTGTACTATATACGACCTTTTCATCACCCCCCCCCCCCCTTCACAAGGTTAACTGTGTACGTCATAATAAATCATGAACAATAAAAACAAAGCAAGGGCAAGTATATCACAATATAACATCATCTGTTTTTTGTATGGTTTCACTCATTAATACCATGTTTAAAAATTCTTCTTGGATCTTGTTGCAGAAAAGCATAATGTTTGGGATCAGTTCAGTGTAGGACAGACATTGCCCAAATATAAAGCAAGAAGCTAATATCCAAGGGATATCCAAATGTGATTTAACTCTCCCGAATGGCCCCACCGCACAAATATCCTTTTAACAAAAACTTTTATAAGCAATGCAGGTGTGCAAGAATGACTTTAAACATAATTAAAACCTTATTTAGAGTGACATATAACTCCTCAAATAGTTTTGATTTTATTCCAAAAATGCCAATAACCTTGCATTTTTCTGATGGTTGGGAGCAAAGAAGATGATTAGTAACAAATGATTTATTTGGGAAAAATAGAATTTTAGAATAGAATAATTTTTTTTAGATTCCAACACCTTGACACAATATAAGTTGATAATGTTTATTCCGTCATATCATGGGTTACAGTGATGTATGTTCCAATATTTTGGTTAACTCTATATCAAATTGTGTTACATTGCTTAAATAACTACACAACAGAGCTGAACTCCTCATATATGTATATATGATAAATTTTGATTACTCCAAATACCAAATAGGTATGTTTGTATATATATATATATATACGAGTTAATGATCACCAGTTGAATAATGAAGCCAATACAAGTTAATTCAAGAATCATACACCTGCCACATGTGTCAACAAAGGATCATCATTAAACGAAGAAATGCCCATAATATTTTGAAATATTCAGAAACTGGCGGAGAAAATCCTGTTAAGAAATGCAGAAGACTTTTTACTTTTACATACAATTTAATCAACTTGTTGTTGTTGTTGTTGACAAGAATGTAGAAATCTTTTTTTAATGGTTCAATTCATTTTGTTTCTCCAAATTAAAATTCAGTTGCTATTGTTCTGAATGAAACAATACTGGGATCAGAAAGAGTGTCGACAATCCCGTTTGAGAATGACATGTTACGCTATTTGACCATGGGGTCTACTCTACACTCGTTTTTGGAGTCTATTTCAATGAGAACAGATAAATACAAATGCATTATATACATCCCACAACATTACTTATTTATAATATCGCCGTGGGAACCGATGGGAGACCTAATCTACTGGGGATGTAGTACTGCACAAAATAATCATGTTAACTTTCTTAGTCATTCAAAAGTCAGCAAAAAAGACCTGTGTACTTGACCATACGTTATCATATTGTCAAAAGAAAATATAACTTGAAAATTCATCAAACTTGTGATCACTGTATATTATATTCATGAGTGCTTTGTACAATGAAAAGAAGAAAAGAAGAAATATTATATGCCCATACATAGATGTACACTGAAGGTAAATAGGACTATATCAAATTAGATCATAAATAAGCAACAACAAAAAAGGTGGTATATGCAAAAATACTTTAAAAACAGCTAGACTGACAGCAATACTAGGTGAAAGCAACGAGAAAATAAAAAGGAAAAGTGAACACTTCTCCCCTATGACAGCATTGGAGCTTACTTATCTTACGACGTTAGGATAGTTCATAATTAGTCAAATAATATCCTGTTGCCACAATGCCAACATAAAACTATGAATCTTTGTGTACAAAAGCTTATTTACGAGGCACAGGTGAATGTCACAAAGGGAAATCAAGTTTTAAATATATTTGTGTCTTTTCATTTTCTTTTAATCCGGCATTCATTATGCAGTTAATTACCAAACTCAAAATCATACAATATTTATTAACATAAAAATGGAAATAAAATGAAAATCCCACCCCATACCGGTAGTTATCCTTCATTTTATCTTTAATTCCTCTATGGTAGCATGAATGAGCAAATCAAAAACCTATATCTCCTATCATGTCTGTCTGATTATAACAATGTTTATGTCTGCGTCAGGGGAGAAAGGTGTATCACAACAAAATTCATGCATTAAATAAAATGAATGCAAATGAATGCAAATGAAATACTGAATACATTCTTATAGTAGTCTTAATACTAACAGTGATTTTTTTTTCTGCACAAGATAAGTTTTCACCCATGAAATGAATTTAAATTCCCCCCTCGTTCACATTCTGACAAAAGTTGTAAGAAGTGTACGGTAAGACCATATGTTAGACAGTTTCACTCCATTTCAGAAAGAAGAGGTACACCTGTGTCTCAGAAACTTCATAAAAAAATTGTGTAATTATAATCGGTAGAAGTATGTTTCTTTTTTGTTTCACTAAGTAAATCTGTATTGATAAGAAATGAGATTTGAATAGCAAAGAAGATCCAAGGCAAGTACAGCCAATGCAATAACAAGTACTACAGGAAGTTATTTTCTTTTGAGTTCAACATCTAATGACCACTATGCACTTCAAGCATATAAAACATTTCAAAGGTTCAGATAATACATACAATTAAATTTATAGAATGGTAACGTAAAGTGCTAATGAGGAATTGATATATAATATGTATTTGATGTGCAAAAATGGTGAATCCTGTTTTCCAAAAACAAAGATGAAATGGTGCCAAAAAAATGAGACGAAACAGGAGAACTTTTAAAAAAAATTGAGTACCGGGAAGATGATCTTCTTTTTCCAATTAGTAAAGTTCACAAACTAAGCGATTTAACACTTTCACTATTTTCACAACTTAGTGATTCTTAAATATATAACAGTGATTTTAATTCTTAGAAATGGAAGCCAACAATTTTAAGCATTAACAAGTTTTGAGTTGGTCATCAATTCTAAGCATACTCAATAAAATGCATTTTTTTTTTACATAACCGATGCCTAACATTTACTGGACGTACATCTGAATTGTATTTGTCAATATGTTCTTTATGATATTCTAAATGTTAGAATATAAGGTTTCACACATAGCCAAGGCTGAGCAAATGGCCGCCTCTTTCATTCACTGCCCACAATGCAGCATTTATACAAATTTTCATAGACGCAATAATGATAAACATTGATAACACAAGTTGAAGTCCCACTGAACAACAAAACTATATATATATGGCCATACAATTGTTGCTTATTTACATAATGTACAAATGTTTCTACATGTTGAATTCATTCAATTAACATCAGGCTGATCTGGTGTATACATTGGTTTATACTTAGAGGGGTGGAATGGATGTGGTGTTTTTGTAGATATAACAAGGCTTCTCCAAGTCAGTCATCAGTCGATGCAACATACTATTCAACTTATTTTATTATATGCTACCAGAATTGCCTTGTTTATTCCATTTAGACTGCCTCAGGTTGAAAGGCTGAAGTTTTCCTACAAAGGATCAAACAGTTCCTGTGTTGAGATACACACATTTACATGGTCTTTTCAATTTAAGTCAGAGGTCCTATGCTTGAATTATCTAATACTCCTAAACATCAGCCAAAAGGTTTACAAGACACATAGTACACAAGGTAATACAAAGTTTTGGTATGGGGGCATGAATTTGGTTCAAATGAACATATTGGAAGCATTTGCGATTTTACAATATTCAATGATCATTGTCGCGGTTGAAATCGAGTCTGAAGTGATGAAATTTTAAATAATAAACTGGTTATGTTGGATAGCTCCCTCTCAAGGCTGATATTACTTTAGCTTTGAAACAATGTTTCTTGACTACAATCGACCGATTTGCTATTCCCGTTTGGAAATTATATATCAAAACTGCATATTCTGAGATTTTCATGGTCGCAGCTACCACAGAAAGGCCTTAGGCATTATTTGAAATTTTTGAAATTTAGCGGGAGCACCGGTAAATTTTGATTATTAAAAATTCTCGAAAACAGAAGTGTTTTAGGGGCTAAATTGTCTAGTGCTTATAATACATCCATTGGGGCATCTAAATATATCAAAATTTAAAAAAATAACTTTCCATCCAATTTTCAAAATTTCCCAAAACTTTGCATTACCTTTAAAACAAGTGATCATGATATTAATTACACACGAGGGTTTCTCTTCATAAAAATGCATCAGAGTATCCCAAAATTTGACCGAGTATGGAATGGTAATTAAAGTGTCTTAGGGGGCTTACACGAGGTATAACTGAGAAACGACCGACCGACTGACTGACATGAGACCTCGACTGTGTATCTCCAGGATTTGACTTCTCATCTTCTCATCATTTCATCTTCACTCACCTTGTGGATAATCATACAACCCACTCTCCTAGTCTGTGCAAATGATTCCACATATGGCTTAGAATAATATCGTTGTCTGCCGATGACTCTATTGAACAGATGCACGCCAAAGACACTTGCATAAAGAATATTTACATTTCTTGGGGTCGGTAATACAAATATTTAGGCTTAGCTTTCATTTCTTCATACAGTTAGTAATAAGCATGACTTGAGTGAGATACATTTATAAGGATTACATACAACACAGAAGCACCTAGTAAAGTGATATATAATAAGGAAGCTGCAACCTGTTTAAGTAAAAGGCTGTATCACCTTTACTCGCTGGACTCCTGCCTCTCTTCATCATCATCATCATCATCATTCTTTCACTGTCCATGAGGCTGCTTCAATGCAGCATATCCCAAACAAAATATAAGGCAGTTTACATGAAATCAACAACTATACTAACATATCTCTGGTCTACAGTCTTCCTTCTCTACAATCCTAATCCATTTCATTCATTACTGATAAATTAGCTACTCACACACATAAGCATTACATGCCAATTAGTTCATTTATTATAACAGGTTGATGAAGCTCGACACTTGGAGGGAATGCAAAAGAAACTGTGACATCTGAGTTGGTGATTTGTCGCAAAGAAAGTACAGCAACGATCAGAATTTGGTATTAAAGAGAAAATGTACCACAGCATTCAGGTGTAAATAGAATAGTCAGTGTTTTTAACACCTTTTTCTTTATTACATAATATTTACATACTGTTCACAAATGTATTTCAATTTTAAATCACATATGTGCTACCCCTTTAACTCAAAATGATAAACCTTATGTGACCATACTAAGTTTCTGCTATGTGAAAAAGATTTCCTTTGGATTATTTTAGCATTTACTCTAGATATGCAACATGCGTAATGTTGGCTTTAATACTTTTTAACTGTGACCACTCTACACGCTACGCAGCATACGTGTACATATGAAAGCACTGTGCAGTAGTTCTGCTCACTAATCTGCGGATCACAACATTTTTGCAAAGTGATTTTTATTTGAAATAACACTTCCTACTGTGGAGTATCAGTTTCTTAACCATAAGATGTTGCAAATTTGTATAATTTTTGTTTTTTAAACTATATGTCACAATTTCTAGTGCACATTTCGATTCCTCATGTCTTGGGAACATCAGCTTTGGTAGTTCCAGAAGGTGGTCTTGCTGCACTGGCATGCAAGTCCTGCTGCTGTTGGGCACGCTTCAAGTCATTCAGGCTAACTTTCCTTTCATCCAAAGCAGGTCTTGCCGCTGTTGGCTTACTCAAATCTGCAAGATTCTTGAACTTGTCATCAGCAAAGGTGCCTTTTCGCTTGCCTGCCTGTTGCTGCTGCTGTTGCTGGGATGCAGGTGTTTGAAGCTGTGCTGCCACAGTTTGGTCGGTAGGAATCACATCTGTATTATTATCAGCTGGCCTGGGGTCTGTGGTCGGGTGATCAACTGCTACCCTATTGTCAATCTGCCCATGCAGTTCTGTATTTTCACTTTGGTAATTTGGCTGGCTTAGCCCACCAGGCCTGGCTTCCTCCAGTCTCCTTTCCACCTGACCCAAGTCTGTCTGAGCTTGGTAGCCTTTTGAAGTTACCGCCTCAGTTGCCTCACTATTCATTGGTACCATTCTCTTGGTGAAGTCTATTTTCTCAGTACCAGAGCCGGTCCTTACATGGGATGGATAAGGATGAACTTGTTGCGTAGGAAACGTTACACCTGCATTGTCTATCCCACGAGGGAGCTGCTCTGGAGACCTGTTGATTCCATTCTGTATTGACGGCTGGTCCTTCATGTCCATAATCTGCATTGCACCTCCTGCTGAACTCATCCACGCATTACCAGCTCCTGGTCTTGGCATGAATGCCTCAGGATTAGGGGGTCCCATTGGCTGGTTGGGATTGGGGAAAAATGCTGGCTGAAACCCAGTGTTGGGTTGAGGAACAACAGACTGGTAACTGACACTCCTTTTGAGTCCTTGACTATTGGTATAGGTCTGCTGTGGGATCATCTCATTGCTGGCAGAGAAACGGGGGTGCATGGTGGTAGGCACTTGATACTGAGCACCTGTCATTGCAGGTGCAGCACCTGGCATGGCTCCTTGGCCAGGCATCTCCACACCAGCTACAGGTCTATAGGTTACCATCCCTCCCTGCACAGGAACCCCCATGGAAGACATGCCTGGTACGGTAGGTGGGCTGGTGGTACCCTGACGGAATCCCCCAAATGCAGAGCCTGGCGCATGAGTGAAAGGAACTCCCTGGAAGTGGTTATAGGGAATAAGATTGCTACTGGGATGCCACATGCCTTGGGGAGCAAAGTTGCCTTGAGGAGCAAAGTTGCCTGGAGGAGCAAAGTTTTCTTGCATGGGGAAGGGTACCATGCTGTACATGTTGGGTTGATAGAGAAGCAAGGGACTCTGGGGCGGTGTTGTCTGCGGATAGTGAGCTATAAACTCCTGCATTTCACTACGATGTCTATGGAGTATCTTAGCCCTCTCTTCATCTTGCCTACAATTTTAAAAAGAAAAGAGAAACACATACCTTCATGTTATAATACCTGTATAAGCATCTATCTCGCAGAGCATGAAAAAGTGTTATTTTCAAAAGACTTTGTAGATAACATTGTTGCATGAATGAAAACTCCTGAGAATGTAGAACTGTCTCATCTTGACATAAGCAGATATACATTAAATAACATGACTACAACTGGAGTCAAAATAGTTAACTGATTCAAGATTGGTACATCTGTTTTGGCCTTTCCATTTTGCAGGATTATAAATTAAGTCTCATAATTATATACAAGAAGAGTTATTCTTAATCACACACAAATTACAATTTCAATCTAAGTCAAGAAAATAAGGCCAAATTATTAAAATGTGCAGTAACATAACTAAATCAGGTTTGAAAAACACCTTTGCAAATATTCATTGTCAAAGTATTATATCTAAACATACCAGCATGGTGCTAAATGTATAATTACTGACAAAACATCCCTTTCACTATATCTTTTTTTACCTCCACTCGTTTTACCTTTACCCAGAGCAAAAACCTGAGATACAAACAATGCTTAATATCTGTCTGTCCTACCTCTTTAGAAGCTCCTGGAGTTCCCTTGCAGCTTCAGCTTGAGATGGCTGGACTTGACCTAGATCAGCCTACGATCGATAGAAATAACAAAATATGTTTAACACCCATAGTAAAAGTTCTCTTTCACTACTTTCCTTCATGGCAAATACAAGCACAAATTTGATAATCATATTTCACCTAAAACGAACTCTTCATTCTACAAACTTGAAGACCCTAGAATATTTTGCAAAGTTGGGTCCATACATAATAAGTGAAGTTAATAATCAAACGCAATGAACCATAAAAATATATGATACATGCAATTCCTATTTGGCTTATTTATTAATTATTTATTTTTTGTCACTTCATGATTTGCTAACAAACATGGCAATAGAATGATCTTGTGTTAAAAAATATGCAGAAATTATCTTTCAAAATAGCTTCAAAGAAGGTAACATTCTAATATTTAAAATGCCTTATCTTATGACAAGTTTATTGCCACACAAATCTAGATTGAAAAATCCCTCCAAACTCGAAATTAATTCTGTATAATTAAACTACAATTAAACTATAATTAAACATATATATATATCTTTTTTCAAAAGCATATTGTCAATGATGATAACGATGGAATATAAAATGTACTTCTAATCAAAGGTATAAACTTGTTACTCACATTAGCAATGGGTCCTGGAGAAGCTGATCCAACATCTGACAAAGGGGGTGTACTTTGAGATTCGGGCTGGGCAAACACACCCTGGCCTGGCCCAAATGGTTGTCCAGGAAGACCTGCTGATTGCTGCAAAGTTGGACCTTCTGGTGGGAATGAAGGAAGCGAGCTTCCATCTGATGCGATGCTGTCTGGAGTATCCCGTTCACTGCCAATCAGGCTGCTCTTACGCTCAGGCTTGATGGCCGGTCCAACTGATATATCAACAGCGGGTTCATTTCCTTGCTGAGGATGAGGAGATGGTTCCCGATCTGCCTCTTTTATGGCAAGTGATGCAGTGGCTGACGGTAATGGAGGCTGTTCTGCCTCAGGTTGTTTCTCAATATCAGTCTGATCATCCTTATTAGTTTCAATTGAAGCTGTCTCAGGAACAGACTGTTCGGCAGAGGTTTTTCCTTCAACAACCGAAGTCTTGTCTGAAACCTTGTTAACTTGGAAACGACTAAGCTTAACGGGAGAACCTGCCGATGGTTTTGCAGTTTCTGCTACATCTGCTCCCTCCTTGTCAATATTTTTTTCAGTCTGGGATACCAAATCTGAGACCACATCTTTCACATCCTGTGTTGCTGTCTCACCAGATTTCACCAGGTCACTTTTTACAGCGTCTCCCACAGTACATGGAGCAGGTGCTACTGTAAATCTACCTTTCTTTTCTTCCTTTCGTGCAGGCTCCTGGTCTTTGTCCATACCAATGGCAGGTTCTCTGGAAGACTTATCTCCAACTGTTTCTGTTTTGCTGCCTGCATTTCCTTCACTGATCTCCTCCTTTGGTTTTTCCTCAGTCACTGCTGCTGCATCCTTCTTGTCTTCTACAGATGACACAGAAAAACGGGACTTCTTTGTTGGGCTAGAGGCTGGCTTAGGGGACACAGGTCTAGCTGGTTGTTCGATTTGAATTTGATTTTCTTCTGATTTCTCAGGCACAACCTGCACAGAATCCTGTTGGGGATCTACATAAGGTGTTGTTTGAAAATCTGGAACAGGTTCACTTGCTGGACGTGGCAGGTAGTTATGAATGGGTAAACTCTGGGCATCCATCAAGGATGCTTTCCTTTCATCTTGGATTGGATGAAAGACAGGTGCTAACATATTTGAAACAGGCTGTGGAGTCAGGACAATATTTGCAGAGCTCTGGCTGTTGTTTGGTGTGGTCAGCTGGGCAACACTCACACTGACTTGATTGTGATAGGGTACATTTGACTGACCCTGTGATATTTGCTGCTGGAGCATTGTTGGTGGTTGTGAAGGAACTTTAGCTGGTGTTTGTTGCTGGTGTGGGTTAGGCTTTTTGTGTAGCTGAGATAGTTTGTGATCAAGCTCTTTAAGACGAGCTACACCTGCAACCTGAGCAGCTTTAGCTTGAGACTGCTGTGGCTGTGCCCCTCCTGCGACACTCTGGGTGGGTGCTGCAGTTGAAAGAGCAGCTGTAGTTTGTGGTTGTTGATGAGGTTGTGCATGAGCCTGACCTTGCACAGATGTTGCAACTTGTTGACCAGGTTGTGTTGGTTGAACTTGTTGCAACTGCTGTGGTGGAATCTGTGCTTGTTGCCCTCCTTGCTGAATAGGTTGAGTTGGTTGTTGTTGCAGCAGTGGCTGAACTTGGTCCTGGACTGATGGTAGAGGTTGTTGCTGCATTGGTGGTTGTTGTTGGTGCATTGGAAGCTGTTGTTGTGGTTGTTGTTGTTGCTGCATTGGGGGTTGCTGCTGATGTTGCATAATAGGAGGTTGCTGCTGGAGCTGTTGCATTGGTGGTTGTTGGTGTTGCTGCATTGGTGGTTGCTGCGAGAGGTGCTGCTGCATTGGCATCTGTTGCTGCATGTACATTTGTTGAGCCTGTTGGGGGTGCATGTACATCTGGGGAGCACCAGCCTGTGTTGCCATGGGCACGAAAACAACATTTCCTTGTGAAGATAGCATAGGCATCATGCTGTACGCACCCATCATAGGCATTCCCTGCATCATGCCTTGATCTGGGACACCTGCTTGGCTTGGATAGACAGGTTGTGGTGTTCTCAGCTCCATTTGAAGATGATGACTCTGCTGGACTGGCACTTGGCTAGGCATGTTCTCTATGGCTGCTGGAGGAGACTGGTTGGGCTTAGGACGAGTCTGGTCACTGTCTTCACTACCCATCTGCTGAGGCTGATTGACGATTAGAGGACTACTACCCTTCCTACTGAGGGGTAGGTGCTGGTTTTCAACAGGTCTCAGTTGCTGCTCACCCTGCTGTGACTCTGCAGTCAGATGCTTACCAACTGCCATCTCAAAGCTTTGTTGGGGAGCATTCTAATCAAATAAAGAAAGAAAGAAAAAGGCAAAATTATAAAATATTCAAAATAAGGACTTGTGATGTAAAAAAAAAATAATCATTAAAATACAAAAAAATTAATTACATGCAATTATTCAAATATCACTTCAATGCAAAAATCATCAGCTCATGTACATGGCACATTAAGTCAATCATGTTATTCTTCAAGTTAGATCAAAGTGGTAGTAGTAGCTCCGATTAAATTCTACTTCTCTATATAATGCTAACATCATGCTCTGTGTATACAGAATATCATAATTTCACAAACAAACATTATTCACATTGCCTAAAACAGGAAACCACTACAAGTATCTACTCGAAATTGAACATCACAGGCATATTATCTACATGTAGGTTAACTTGTCACAATGCTCAATGTTTAAGTTGAACATGGGGAACAATACATTACATACCAACAACAAAATACTTGATATTGGTATCTGTGATTATCATGAATTAGTTATGCTTCATTTCTTTTTTCTCTACGTGTGTACAGTTTAGTGTATGAATATTTCCAGGAATATGTTTCCATAGAGAGAGAAAAAGGAAAGTGAAATAAAATTGGACAAGGAATTTTAAGGGTGTTTCAAAAATTGTTGTAGGGTAGAGCAGGTTGCAGTTATTGACGAGCAAAGCAGAACTACCTCATCCCAAATAATGCCACAGAAAAACCCCAAGGGCAATGTGTGCCTAAATAGAGGATAATCTTGCTATTCTTATAAAAATGAACTTTTTGGTGGCAAATTGTATGAAGAATATTCTTTATGTTTGAAACATAAAAATATATATGAAAGGGAAAGTACATTCTCATCAAGTGTTCTAACATATAGAGAGTATAGGCGAGTATAGGAAGATACTCATGTCATCTTACTGCACTCTAAAAGGTTAGGAATGTAAAGAGGAGAATGGAATGCAAGGTCATTAGGAATGAGAAGGGCTTGAAGAAATAATGATGTAATAAAACCATTCAGGCTGCTAATCATACATTCAAACCAAATGGGATGGAAGAGGGAGAGGGAGAGGGAGGGGGGGGGGGGGGTAGGGGGCTGGTAAAAAGAAATTGTCACTCCAAGGCCAGCTACCACAGCAGTCCAATTTGCACATAGCAAGGAAACTCAAAAGAAAATCTGAGATAGAGAGCCAGTCCCACCAACCCACCAAAGAGGGCCAAGAAAGGGGGCTGAGCCTTGGGCTTGAAGGATCAGATATTGGTGAAGCAGGTGAGTAGAGAGCTGGGGACCATACCAATTGCTGCTGAGACTCGTCCCCACTGGGAGGGGAGGCATCCGACGAGTTGACGGCTGTGCCGGGGCTTGGTGGAACCACCCCTTCCTGAAGCTGCTGACTGGTGATGGTACCGGTATCGTCTCCCACGGTAGAGGATGAGGGACCTGGCTGGAGGTGGAGGCCTGGTCCTAAACGTTTGGCATCCTCCATCACCTTGAGAAGCTGCTCCTTGAAGAGGCCTGCATGCTGCTCATGAACCCACTTGGCTACCGTCTATAGAGAGTGGAATAGATAGATAGGTAATGATGCACAGGAGGAGGGCAGAAGAAAGTGAGAATAGAAACAGTGAGTAGAACAGAGACAGGAAAGCAAATCAAAATGAGAAAGACATAGAGAAGGAAAACTAATTTATTACACAAATCAAATATTTTCATATCATGGCATCAATATGCAAAAAATTAACATAGATAATTCCACTACATAGATATTAAAACTACATGTACATAGATATTTCAACTAAAACTCAAGTGAAATGGTTTTCTCTATTAAGATCTTGCACCAAATGCCTCCAGGATTTTACCTTTCTCTATCTCACTAACAAAAACGTGGATTCTTCGTTTTGATATGCAATGCATTCTATGCAGTGGAAATAGGTCAAATTTCAAATTAAAGTCCAACAAAAGGAAAAAACTTGAAAGAGGTGATGGTCATATTGCTCATAATTCCTTGTCCAGCAGAGGTGGCTCCAAACAGACCCAATATAAAAATCCAATATTCTTATTGTTATTTCGCATTGTGTTATTTATTTCAACTGTCCTATTTCATTCAACCTCCTGGTACTCTTGTGGCATATCTTGTGATATAAATATAAACTATACACACTCTCACAATATTTTGATCAAGGTCTCACAATCTTTCCCCTCAAGAGCTGCAGATCATATGTCCCAAAAAGTAATTGTATTTTATTTTAGGACACCTGTGCTGATGCAAATTTGATAAAAATAACAGTGCTTATAAACACAATGAGGCTGAATTTTATGGATCTTTTCGTCTCCACAGACCTCAGAAGTTTTTAATAATAGCACTCCGTAATTATTGACAGAAGAATTCATTAAATATTGAAAGAAAAGATATCTACATAAAGACAAACTATGACAAAAGAGGTGGATAATTTCCCAGGATGATAAGAGATATTTACCATGCAGAGTTAAATCATCTCTTTAGCTATAAGAACTCTTAACCTAACCAGGAATTAAAGAGAAATAATGAAAACTGAGCAAACTGCATGTCTATTAACCCATGTTTTTTGTTGTTTTTATTTTGTGTTCCTCTTTGAAAGTTTACTAAGTCAAATGAGAAAGAGGCCATATAATTTTATTTTAAGAATTTATTTCATACCAGGTTTGAGACAATGCCATCCAACTGATCATCTTCACTGAACTTGAAGACGATAGTGTCTCCCCTATGCGTCTCCAAGGAGCATTCGATCACTTGATCCTCGTCAACAGATATGATGCTAAGCTTAGGCCTCTTCTTGCTCGTTTTACTATGCTTCTTTTTACCCTGCCTCTTCTCAACATTCTGACTGCCTTCTGCTCCACTGCAATAAAAACAAACAAAAATTACATATGCATTAAAAAAAAAAAGGTTTGATCCTAACAGGCACCGGGAACATATGAGCCCCCAAATCCAAATCTAAGCCCCCCCCCCCCTTCACCCCCATTTTTTTTTTCAATCTAAATTTCTACAGAGGACTCATGCATACAGACATTTGGAATTATTGAGTGGAAAATCATGAAATAGTCAAGATGGAACCCTGGATGTAGCATAGAAGATCTGTAAATATAGAATAACTTGAGTTTAAAACATATCACAAGTAAACCATAGCAACTTCATTTCCGGACCCTTTCTGTCCTATCACAATGCAGCAAACTTATCTTGGAATTCCTTTAGAGCACCTCAGTTAAGCAGGCTTTCTTCAGAGCTTTTCACCTTACATTTAAGGTACATAAGGTACCTAATCATATTTGTAAATTTTGGAAGTAAAAGTGATAGTAGAATATCCAAGAACGCTACACTTTCAAAAATTCTCTTTTAAAGATTGTCTTGCGAAATGATTTAAGAGCTAGTCCAATCTGTGTTCAATAAAATGACAACACAATAGTTGTGGACATCAAATCTATCACCTATCAAAAACAAAAACAAAAAATTATTATGGAATTCAAGAGACCTATCATTTTAAATAACAACAAAAAGTCCCACAACATTCAGCGTATACACTTCAAATTACCAGAATGTTGATTGCTAGACGGGGTTGGACTAATAATTCATAATTTTGACAATCACTATTGACTGCTAGCTATATGTGATGTTTGGGGGGTAATTACCTTTCTTCTCCTGTCCCAGAGGGGTAGGCGCTGGCTGCATCAGTTAAAACATCCTTCCTCTCAAGACCAGGTGAACTCCATGCCTGGCCATCACTACCAACCTGCTCAACAACAACAAAAATAGAAAAGTAAAAGACAAATGTTATAAAAGATGCTAAAATATTTCAGAAATTTTTTAAAAAGCTGATTTGTAGGTGAAAAATACAGGTTCAAAATGGGTGTAAGATTCCAAATCAAATCTATTGAAACCATAGGAAGGTAGATAACTCAGTCTTATGAAGCTCAGCAAATTTATGATATTAGCTTTTGGGCAGTATTAAGTGATAGCACGAGAGCTTTTTTGCTGAAAAGCATGTCATCCCAACTTAAATATGAGAAGGAAAGTACAAATCAGTTTGTGGTCTCATATTGATAACAAGTACCGTAATTAACGGTGTATAAACCACACTTTTTTAACGCCGAAAAAAATTCAAAGTCGGGGGGTGCGTCTTATACACGGTACACCAAATTTTTTTTTTTTTTGAAGGGCGAAAAAGAGGGGTGCGGTTAATACACGAGGGCGGTTTATACACCGTTAATTACAGTACTATTGAATAGCGCATTTCAAGTTACAATTGACTGATTGAAGAAATTGCCAGTGTTCTTTTATCCGATCACTTGATCCAATCACATTACTGCATGTACGCAGCACTCTCCACTCCATTGAGAGTATTCAGGACAGCTACCATATTCTCATAACATTTTGTCTGTTTGAAGGCACAAGGTTGTTTACTCATACACTTTAACACAAGTTAATGCAATTACGGCTCCAAAGGAACACCCTAAACATACAATGCTGTTATCTCTTACAAGGGTTTAAAAATTGGTTCTGTTTTTTGTCTTTTGTTCAATGTTATCCCAAACTTGGAAATAGTGAAACAATGTACCAAGCACAATCAATACAGTAGGATGGAGATATTTTCTAGATCAAAGACTTGCTGTACAAAATGACCCGATGACCTGAAAAAAACAATCGGATAGATGACTAAGAATAAAACATGAATAGCAGGCCAGCCAAATCTTACAAACTTTTGACCTATTCCTGATCTCATGCAATTACCTCCTTTTGAATTAACCCTAATTATAACATACAAATTCCCCCTTAGAACTAATTTCAATGAAGGTCGTTTCTATATAAAGTGTCCTTGTGAATATACAAGATAGGGAAAGGCATTGCGGAGAGGAAATGAGGAAAGGAAAAGAAGGAAAGGAGAACTAGAGATATACTTTGATGAGCATATGTAGACACTCGCTGACCACTATATTAACGAGTCAACTTGAGGAAAGAAAGTTTCAACGTGTTTGCTTCCGGCATCGCCCAAAACAAATGTTCCTAACCTTCTCAATATGGCATGTATCAATCAAGTTACTGTTTTAGTACTTGTCATTACAAAGTTAATTCACATCAATAAACATTTTGCATGTAAATGGACATCACAACATATGTTGAGCAAACATACCTCAAGGGCATTATGTAACCTTGTTATACACAAATAATGCGTGATTAGCGTTTAAAATTATAAAGAAAAAAAAGAATAAAAATTCCAGAGTCTGTACTTGGGTGCTCAAAATTTGATTTGTCATTGTTTCTTTTTTTTCCTAAAAAGGTGTTGGATGACTGAGCACAACTGTTCTTGTAAAGCATGATACATCGTTATGCCTAACTGCTAATGATGAGAAAGCTTTTTAAGTTGGTGATTCAACGCCATGATGCATAAACTGACAAAGCCTACAGGTGTAAGTAAAATTTATAGTTTGAAAACAAAATCGCAAGTTATCTAACTTATTAGGAATGCATTATTTCTTATCTATAATATGATTTGATCATATAGTCAACTTCAAAATCCATGTTTATAACTGTAAGAGACTGAGTCACCTAATTGACAAGTTTTCATTGTGAAATGGAGTCTGCTAACATTTAAATGCTGCATGTGAAATGGGTCTTCAAGGAGCAAGGGATTAGAACATGTACAACTCCCAACGTGTTCCGCCAGGTATGTGTAAGCCCATCCATGGAGGTGTTGATGGATGCACATTTCTGGTTCTGGATCTAAATTTGGAGGTGTATCCAAAAACATGGCCGGCAAAGTCTTCACTTTTTACTTCAAAGCATGCTGCACCTGTTTGTGCCTATGACACAGTGCATGGAGGAAATTCAGTCTACTCCCTCGATAAGAATAATACACACTCAAGAATGGAATACACTGCCTCCAAAGCAGATCCAATGGCTTATGAAATGTATTTAAAACATTGATCTGGTTGAGACAATTGTTGAGAAAGAATTAAGGATGCCCATGTTGACAAAAGAGATACCAAAATATTGCTCTGAGTCAACAAGCTAAATGATAGGGAGAAAGGGTTCAAGTAGAGTGCAATGATCTTGTACATGACATCAATGTGAAGAGTTGAGAACAGAGGGACAAAAACGTCTCCACATGAGCATGAAACCCCAGACTGTCAGTTTCATTTGTTCCTGATTATTAAACAATTTTTATCTGATAACTAGGGACTTGATAAATATACAAAACACTGGTTCTTTTAGCCTTGTGTATGAAGGAAAATGGAGGAAAAAAAATCCTGACAAACTAGTTAATAATGCCAGGCCTGTCTCCAGGGCAATATAGCCAAGAGCTTAGCTCTAAACAAGAAATCTAATAACAAAATTGTAAAATCATGGGTATATCAGGAAATATTATCAAGTAATGAATCAGGTTTAATGGTCTTTTAACTCTTATACAAACAGATGTGGTATTCTAACTGCCATTTTTAGTATGAAAACAAAACAAATGAGTGTTAATGTTCACTTCCTGTTCGACTCGTAATAAAAAATAGTTCATTGAGGAAACGAGACAAGCCAACACTGGACAATGATTACTAGTATGATTAAGCAAATATAAATATCATAATATAGGATTTCCCGGCCAAATTCGCGAGTTTGTTATTCGAATTCATTTGTCTTGCGTTCAAATTCGACGCTTTTAGTGCTGTCAGGTATATCTCGGGTATATCTCGGGTTTATATTCCTTTTTCTAGATTTCAAATCTATGAAGTTTTCGTTAGAATCTATGTATGTTTCATTCAAATTAATGAACAAAGTGCTTCTTTCACTATTTGGTCATTCAATTTAGCGCAACACGATTTTCTGACATCGCGACGGTGTATTTCTAGCATTCTAATTCATTTGTTGCATTCAAATTAGCACTTTGTGCACTTAAATTGATGGTCAATATATATTTCTCGTTTCTTACACACTTTTTATAGCTCTTTTTTTTTCTTTCAAGATTGTTTTTTTCATGTGTATTTCATCATATTTTAGTTTATGGCATTTATAAACTTATACTTATTAGATTTGTCTGATATTCATCGGCATTTAAGTTTGATTGTTAAGGGGAAAAACTAAATACTTGCATCTGCGGACTTGATGGTCTCAATATGTTTATACATTTTCATGAAAGGAAGTCGTTTGTCTTGTGTTTCATCATAAATTTATCATAATTTCAGTCATCATAATTTCATTATGGAGGTCATGTACAATATATAGGGGTAGAGACTAGAGTCACACAATTTTGAGAATGATTCATCATTTTAACCAAGTCTTTAGCCATCGATGGCAAAGGGAAATGGAGAAGTGACAAGTAAACTATGAAACTCTTTTAGAAAAACAGAGGGGAGTGCTAGCTAGTGTGAGAGACGATGTAAATTACTTTTGTAACATTCAAAGTCTGTATTTAAAAGGGGCAATTGAGGGTACCCCCACCTTTCCTGGGTATATAAACATGTCCGTGCAGAAATGCCATATATCCCTTGATTTCGCCCCTTCTTTACTTAATGTCTGACTACACCCATATGCATTGTACTGAAAATGAAAAAAATTGAATAACAGAATAGACCCCAATGGCAGGTCCTGGATTTTATTTTATTTTTTAAACTGTAAACGTGTGGTGCATTTCTTCCCCCTAACATTCCTAACTTGAATACAAATATTTCGAATACGAATGACAGGTGTTAATTTGAATGATAGAAATGACGCCTCGACAAATGATGATTAGTTTGAATGCTAGTTGAGCAGTTTCTAAATTGAATGACAGATCTATGAAATCCTTCGACCAAAATCCTAAATTAAATACAAGATCGGGAAAATTTAATGATAATTGGCATGGCAAAGCTGATCTGCGCTAACTTAAATACAAAGTAAATGAATTTGAATGACAAACTCGCGAATTTGGCCGGGAAATCCTATAGTATAAAAGAATGTGTAAGGTCTTCAAGCTATATGCTTTCCATTTTGATTATGTTTGTAGAATTGATGAATGCCGAGCTTTTACAACAGAGTGGACGTAATTTAGACTCTGTCCCCTTACAAAGGCCTCTCTAAATACGTCATGCCAATAATTCGGGCATTAAAACTTGCTGATCCATATACTAATATATGTGGGAGTAAATTCAAACCCAATTTTATGCTTTCAAACACTCAATTATTCAATGGTAATACTACTCCTAACAAAATGTAGTAGTATTAATTTACCGGAACTGCATTGTGTTTGCATGCATTCTGGCTGAAAAAGTCATTCAATTATGGAAATCTCATAAAGATCTCTTGATAATGAACAAAATACTTACAAGAGCTCTCATGCACAGCAACATTATCTTTACACATTTAAACCATCGCTTTCTATATCTTCGCATTAGTGTAATCACATCATTCCCCTTGAGGCCAGCTTTTACACTCTAGCATTGGGATAAAATTATGTAAATCCTCATTTGAAAAAAATAAGCAGCAAAAAACAGAGAAGTACCAGGGTGCATATCTGTGAATGTATGAACAATTAGCAAAGGAAAGAATCACATAATTGTAGCATACTACAATGATTGTGAAATGTTGAAATTCCTTTGTCCCTTTTATTTTGAGAGCATCTCCAATTCATGCAACGTAAATATGAATTATCGGAATGGGACAGTATTTCAATCTAAAAGCATGGTCTCTGCTGTTTCAATACATTTTCTTCAAATGTTAACAAGAAGAGAAGAAGCTGGCTCATTTCTCTAGATCTCAGCAGTAGTA